TACTCAGAAAAAGCTGAAAGTGAAGATGTGGCTCAAGTGCCACATCCTTGAGCAAAAAAGCCAAGCGAGGGTTTGAAGGCCCTGAGTTAAAGTCCCAGTACAGGTGTACACCACCACCACACACACACAATGACATTCACAGACAAGACTTAGGATCTAGGATACAGAACAGTGATTCACAATTCTGGTTATCATTTTATGTGGAAAACTACATATACAGAAGATTTCCAGGCAGCACTTGGCTCTTGGCCAGTGGTTTGTATCCACAGTGTTCCCTGGCCTTCTCAGTAGAAATGTTTGTTATTTTTTTCATTTCCTTAAAGAATGAGTTTTGTAACTTTTTTTTTTGTCACTTGTAAGGCTTGAACTCAGGCCCGGGGCCATGTCCCTGGGCAGTTTTTGCTGAAGGATAGCACTTTGAGCCACAGCTCTACTTCCTGTTTTTTGGGGATAAGAATCTCACACTTTCCTGCCTGAGCTACCTGCAAACCAAGATCCTCAGATCTCAGCCTCCTGAGTAGCTAGGATTACAGGCGTGAAACGCCAGCGCCCAGAGTTTTTAATATTATATATATTATATAGAAATATTTTTATTTTTGTCAGTTATGGCTTGAACTCTGGGCCTGAACGCTGTCCCAGAGCCCTTCAGCTCAAGGCTAAGGTTCTACTACTTGAGCTACTGTGCCACTTCTGGTTTTCTGAGTGGTTTATTGGAGATAAAGAGTCTCGTGGACTTTCCTGCCCAGGCTGGCTTTGAACTGCAATCCTCATATCTCAGCCTCCCGAGTAGCTACGGTTACAGGCAGAAATAAATTTTATATAAAATGTAAACTATAAATTTTATGAAATAGTCAGGCACCGGTAACCCACACCTGTAATCATACCTACTCAGGAGGCTGTGGCTCAAGTGGTAAGAGTGCTAGCCTTGAGCAAAAGCAGCTCAAGGACAGTGCCCAGGCCCAGAGTTAGCCACAGTGCCACCTCCAGTCTTTTCTGTTTATTTGGTTCTGAGGAAGTGAACCCAGGGCTTCATTTATGCTAGGCAAGTACTGCACCACTACACCACATTCTCAGCCCCAGAGAGACGCTTATCTCCAATATACTCCTCAGATAAAGCTAGACATGGTGCTGTGGTTCAAGTGGTAGCGCACTAAGCCTTGAGCCAAAGAAGCCCTGACAGAACCCAGGCCCAGAGTTCAAGTCCCAGGACTAGCAACAACAACAAAAGAACTAAATCTCCCTTTCATTTGGAAAGAAAGGCTACTTTTTTTTTCTTGGTGTGGTAGGAGTTTGAACTCAGAGCCTTGTAGGCAAGGTACTATATGAAGGGCTTTTCAATTATTGACCTTACTTTAATCCACAGCTTGATAAAAAGATGAATAATTCACCATTAATGGGCACATATGCCATTTTGCATGGAACTATCAGCTGATTTTGAAAAGTTTTACTCCTGTTTAATTTGGTTAACTGCAGAATTTTTGCTATTCTCAAACTCAGTATCTGACACTCATTGGTTGTGGCTCTACCAACTGAGCCACACCTCCAACCCCTCACATTTCTTTCTTTCCATGAAAAGGATCATCTATGGTCCTTGGGAGAGGGATAAAGATGAAGAGACAAGTATTAAGAGTTATGTACACAATGGGGCTGGGAAGGTGGCTCAGTGGTAGAGCACTTGCCTTGCATGCCTGGGGCCCTGAGTTCGATTCCCAGCACCACATAAGCAAAAAGAAAAAAGCCGGAAGTGGCACTGTGGCTCAAGTGGTAGAGCGCTAGCCTTGAGCTCAGAGTTCAGGCCCCATGACCGGACCAAAAAAAAAAAAAATTATGTACATTAATAGCCAAGAAAGCTGTTTTTTGAATCCCTTTAAACTTAATTTTTTTTTTTTTTTTGCCGGTCATGGGGCCTGAACTCTGGGTCTGGGTGCTGTCCCTCAGCTCTTCAGCTCAAGGCTAACGCTCTACCACTGGAGCCACAGCGCCACTTCCGGCTTTTTCTGTTTATGTGGTGCTAAGGAATCGAACCCAGGGCCTCATGCTTGCAAGGCATGCACTCTACCGCTGAGCCACCTTCCCAGCCCCTAAACTTAAATCTTTTTATCTCTTTAAATCTCAATGTAATTTTTTTTTTGGCAGGGGAGGTCCAGTCATGGGGCCTGAACTCTGGGCCTGGGCGCTGTCTAGTGCTCTACCACTTGAGCCTCAGCGCCACTTCTGGCTTTTTTCTTTTTGCTTATGTGGTGCTGAGGAATCGAACCCAGGGCCTCAGGTATGCAAGGCAAGCGCTCTACCACTGAGCCACCTTCCCAGCCCCTCAATGTAATTTTTTAAGTGGGAATAAATTAAATCTTTTTACCTCCTTAATTTTTTAAGTGGGAATTAAACTTGTCTTGACTATGTCTCTGGGATGGTGAAGGTTAATTTAGATAGTATACAGTTAGCTTTCTCAACCCCCAACCTCCTTCTTAAGCTCCACTTCCAGCTTTTTGGTTAATTGGAGATACAAATCTCACAAACTTTCTTGCCAGGGATGACTTCACACTGCAATCCTCAAATCTGAGCTTCCTGAATAGCATGAATAGGATTATAAGCATGAGCCACTGGTGCTCAGCTGTCTTTTGCTTTTAAATATTTGGTAGTTCCCCTTTGACCGTAAAGCACGTAACACTTAAAACATTTTGGACTTTAGCCTTAACTTACCTTCCTAGTTTGGGCTCTTACTCTGTGTTCTCTCTCTCTCTCTCTCTCTCTCTCTCTCTCTCTCTCTCTCTCTCTCTCTCACACACACACACACACACACACACACACTCTCCTCCCCCCTCCCAATCTATCTATCCACACATATACATATACGTAGTATATGTATGTGTACATATGAATTACTGGAGATTGAACTACTCAATGCCTTAGGCTTTCCATGTAGGAAAACTCTGCCACTTGAGTCATGCCCAAACCCTGAATGCTTTATTTTATTAAGAAGCAGTCTATTAAACATGCCTTGAAGGGCTCAGCTGCCTTACCTAGCAAGATTAAGTCCAAAGTTCAAACCCTACTATTACTACTACTACTACGAATTAAAAGACAAAAAAGAAAAAATCTCTAGCTAGGCACTAGCTTCTCACACCTGTAATCTTAGCTACTAAGCAGGCTGAGATCTGAGGATTGCGGCTTAAAACCAGACATGGAAGGAAAGACTATGTGGCTCATCTCCAATTAACCAACAAAAAGCCAGACATGGAGCTGTGCTAGTCTTGAGCAAAAAAGCTCAGGGACCGTTACCAGGCCCTGAGTTCAAGACTGAATCTGTAGGCGCGTGTATGCGCGCGCGCATGCACGCACACACACACACACACACACACATCCTTTGAATATGTTTTGTTCATTCTTATCTCCAACCCCTGCTCATTCCATTGTGCTTACCTGGATATTCTGCCCTCTATTTCCCCCACCTATCCTAGAGATACCTCATCCTTTAGGATACATCTCTGATGAAATCTTTCCTTATCACAGCAACCTTCTTAGAAACCTCCTCAGCCTTCAAGGTATAACCCCTGCTTTCACTGTATTTACTGTTGTTATAATTTGTGGAGGGGAAGGGAAAAAACAAATCGTTTAAATAGGGATACAGGTGGACTCATTCCAACAATGAGACATACAAGTCGTTATGTCAAAAACGAACTTTACAACTTTGGTGGTAAGGGCAGGGGGAGGATGGGATGGGAAGGGGAAACAAAGGAGGAGGCTACAATGCTTGATAAGAAATGTACTCATTATCTTGTCCATGTAATTGTAACCCCTCTGTACAGTATTTTCACAATAAAAAAAAAAGAAACCTCCTCAGCCTTAAATCTTTTCACTCATTTAGCACAGTCTATTGTGTCACAAATTGCTCTCCAAGTAAGCTCTCCAAGTTCAAGAGTAGAGTTTTCTATAGCATTTAACTTGTTTCTGTTGATTTTTTTTTTTTTTTGCCAATCCTGGAGCTTGAACTCAGAGCCTGGGCACTGTCCCGGAGCTTCTTTTTGCTCAAGGCTAGCACTATACCATGTGAGCCACAGCACCACTTCCAGCCTTTTCTGTTTATGTGGTATTGAGGAATTGAACTCAAGGTTTCATGCATGCTAGGCAAGCACTCTACTACTAAGCTACATTCACAGCCCTTAACTTGGTTTTAAATCAACAAATATTCACTGTTGGACCAGTATTCACATCACCATTATTATTTCTCCCATTATAAAATGTAACAGAGCAGTGTCAGTGGCTTATACCTATAATCCTAGCTATTCAGGAGGCTGAGATCTGAGAATTGTGATTCAAAGCAACCCCAGCAGGAAAGTTCATGAAACTCATCTCTAATCAATCACCAAAAGCTGGAAAGGATGGTGTGGCCCATGTAGTAGAGCTCTAGCCTCAAGCACAAAAAAACTCAGGGACATGGGCTGGCAATGTGGCTTAGCAGTAGAGTGCTTGCCTAGCATGCTTGAAGCCCTGGGTTCGATTCTTCAGTACCACATAAACAGAAAAAGCTGGAAGTGGTGCTGTGGCTCAAGTGGTAAGAGTGCTAGCCTTGAGCAAAAGAAGCTCAAGAACAGTCGGTGCCTAGGACTGACAGGCACAAAAAGATAAAAATATAAATAATAAAAAAAACACAGATATGCCAGGCGCTGGTGGCTCACGCCGGTAATCCTAGCTACTCAGGAGGCTGAGATCTGAGAATCGCGGTTCAAAGCCAGCCCGGGCAGGAAAGACTGTGAGACTCCTATCTCCAATAAACCACTAGAAAACCGGAAGTGGTGCTGTAGCTCAAGTGGTAGAGCGCTCGCCTTGAGCTGAAGAGCTGAGGGACAGCACCCAGGCCCAGAGTTCAAGCCCCACGACCGACAAAAAAAAACAGATATGACTAATAACAAGTCATTTCCATTCATCCAGGAAACCTATACTATCCAAAGTTTTGCCACAAATACTCAAAACATTTTTCTTTGAACCATTTCATCTGTATTTCAGAAGCATCTTTGGTGTACTATATTGGGTCCAACTTCATTGAATTCTTCAGTGGTGATCCACATGTCCTGGAAGGCAGACAGGGATGCAAGAATGGAACCTCCCATCCACACTGAGAGTTGTCTTTCTGGGGGAGCGGTAACCTGCACAGAAGTATTAGCAGGTGCCATCTTTGCTATATCCTTAACCAGCCGCTTTTCTAAACCAGGGAAGGAGGTTGATCCTCCTGCAAGGATAATATTGGAGAAGAAGGAATTCCTCAGATCCGCATCACATTTCATTATGCTGCTGAAGCACATCTTGTCGATGCCAGGAACATCAAGGTTCATGAGACACGGAGAGAAGAGAACTTCAGGACATCGAAACAGCTCGTCTTTGAGCTTGAGGACCTTCCCATCCGGTAGTGTGTACTCTTTCTCCAAAACACTCGACTGCTTGGCCACTTCCTCCTCGAAGTTCAAAGCCACGTAACAACGAGTCTCCTTGATGCTGGTGACAATCTTTCTGTCTGAAGCATTCAGCAGCATGATACCGTGGTTCTTCAATAACATCATGAGATAGTTGGTGAAATCAGCACCTGCTAGATTTAGCTGCTGTACACCATGAGGCAGACAGTAACCCTCAAAGATGGGCACAGACTGGGTAACTCCAGCCCCCGAATTCAGCACCAAGCCACTAGTGAAGCCAGAAGCAAAGAGCGCTAGCACGGCTTGGATGGATATATAGAAGGCAGGAACACCCAGATTCTCAAAAAACACTTCACAGATCTGCTGCCTACTGGCTAGAGGGTTCAGGGCAGGCTCGGTAATCAAGACTGGGCCATCACAGGGGTTTAACTTGAGGTTGTAATCAAAGATGTGCTTCCACATGACCTCCATGTCTCCCCAAGAAGTAATGAGTCCACGCTCCACTGGATAGCTGGATGGAGAGCAATAGAGGCAGTAAGTGTTCCAGTTTCTACTATCTTCATTCAAATCTTGGAGGAACTGCTGTTCCTAACAGTCCCTTCATGGGCAGTTAACTCACCAAACGCGAGCTCAGCTACGTTTCTCTGCAATCAATTATTCCTCCCCACCTTTTCCCCCTTTGGAAGCTTGTGACTTTACAACATTTGGGAAATCCCACATTATTATACTATCTTATTTTTTGTGCAGAGGTAATGGGGGCTTACACTGGGGGCTGGGCACTCTCCATCTTTTCGCTCAGGGTTGGTGTTCTACCATTTGAGCCACAGCAAATGCTGGCTTTTTATTGGATAGTTGGAGATCAGTGTCCATGGACTTTCATGATAGGACTGGCTTTGAACCCAGATCCTAGATCTCAGCCTCCTTGAATAGCTATGATTACAAGCATGAGCCACCAGCACTCCGTTATTTATGGTTGTAATGTCAACTAACTGAAAACTCAAAATGAAAAAGCACCTAAACTGTAACATTCTTAAATGAACTTGTACACGATGACTTTCTAAGCATTTGTACGAAGTTCAGCCTTTCCACGTTGGATACCCAAGGCGATCAGTGGCCTAGGGTGCAGTTTTCAACAAGGGGAACCGGCTGAGACTTCCAGGTCCCAAGACCTGATCCTGTGTGTCACCCCGCTCCCGGGCTCTGGGTCCCCCGTCCTTCCCCCGTCCCCGGCTCCTGGGCCCCCGCGGTCCCGTCCCCCGCCACGCCCCGGTCCCGCCCCCGTCCCCGCGCTCCGGGCCCCGCCGTCTGTTCCCGCCCCGCCGCTCGGGCGAGGCACCTGATGGACAGCGCGCCCCGCCGGTCCTGCGCCTGGTCGCCCACACACAGATCCTGGGCGCCCTCCGCTCCCTTCGGGCCCTTGGCGCGGCCGACTATGTTCGGGTAGAGGAACTGCGGCTCCCGGCTCCCCGCCAGGCCCGCCTTGATCGTCCCCGAGCCGTTGTCGATCACCACCGGGAGCTGGTAGCCGCTCATGCCGCTGCCCCCGCCGCGCACAGCCGTCCGGCCGCCCCTCTTCTGGGCTGTGCCGGGCCCGGGGCCTGGAACGCCGCGTCACAAAGGAGCCTACGGGGCGGGAGCCGGGCTGGAGGGGACCCCGGGGAGATGGGGGGGGGTCCCCAGACAGTGACCATAGTCTTCTCCTGCGATCACAGGGCGCGGGGGGCTGCGCTATCCGCGCGCTCCGCGCCCCCCCCGGACCCCAATACCCGGAAAAGCTGACTCCCCTCCACGCGCGTCTGCCCCTTCCCAACGCCGCCGCCGGAGTCGAGCGAACCGGGGTACGTTTCCGGGCCCGCGGGAAACCCGGGGAGCGCGCCCGAGAGGAAAACCAGCCGTGCCGTCTCAAGTGCTCCGCTTCTAACCCGAGAAGGGAAGCAGTGCCAAGTGCAGACGAGTTCTGAGACGTCCACGATCGTGCCTGTGTGCTGAGCGATGCCTTGGATTTCCTCTGGCGAGATGTATTCTGTATTCTAGATAACATACACCGCGAGAACGTGCAAATGTAGTTCTGTACATAAATATTCAGTTAAAATGTCAGCCTCGGGATTGTATTTTTCCTGATCCGCAGGAGCTGATCTTCACCTGCCAACCTTTTTTTTAAGTGTAAGGATGTGTCTGCCTCTTTTTAGGAAAAGTAATACTCATAGGAAGTTTAGATCCAGAAAACAAAAACGCTCCCCGTGTGTGAAAAAGAGCATCTTTGGAATCTGAGGTTGCTCGCCGAGAGGGCGGGCGCGCGTCCCTCCCACAGAGGTTGCGCCCTGGGCTTTGCTTCTATGTATATGTGTGTGTGTGTGTATGCATGCATGCATATGTGTATGCATGCTTGTGTGTATGTGTGTATGTGTTTTTTCCCGGCTAATAAGAGGGGGTTGGGTACTGGGCGCCAGTCGCCAGCGCTAGAACCTGAGCCTCCGCCCTCCCTTGCAGAAGAAACCGGGTAACTCGCCCCGGGCTTTTGCGCGGGACCCGGGGGAAGGAAGTGTAATCAAGAGCTTCTCTGGGGGCCTGGGGGGAGCACCTCCAAAGGAGCACGACCAGGGATTACCTGGTTTCTACAGACGCGGCGACTGCGCCTTTCAGAAAGCCGTACGCAAATTCAAGCTTTTGAGGTCGTTTTAACACACCGTTTAAGCCGTGGTCTTTGGGGTTCCACATCACCACCATCCCATAGAAAGATCACTTAAATTTGCCTTTCGGCAAAATGCACAGTATGACAGAGATATCAACGAGTTCCAGAACACCCAGAGACAGCTCCGTTTCCGTAGTGTAGTGGTTATCACGTTCGCCTAACACGCGAAAGGTCCCCGGTTCGAAACCGGGCGGAAACAGCTGGTGTCCCTTTTCTCACTTGATTTTATTATTGGGTACTTGGCTTATTTTCAAAAGAGTGATCTTGACAATTTGTGAAATGTGAACGTTTAGGCTGCATGTTAGATTTTGGTTTTACCAGACGTGCAGTCTGAAGGACTGCCCATCAGAAACACCCCAGATTAAAAAAAAACTGAATTAGATTTGCAACTAGGGTAATATTGCGAAACGTGTAGTCTAGAAGAGGTCAAACAGCATTACATTTGCCTGCTTTGCCACCTAAGTATTCTGTCACGTAGTTTTCCCCTCGAGATGAACTTTTCCCTTGAAACTCGGGCATACAGTTGTATTCTTACTGTATATGTTAAATTCACAAATATTTCTGAATATATCATCAAAAAAAGCAAGGCGATTTTATACTGAAGAAATTGAGAACCGGCCTCACAATTTTCCTTGTGAACACAACGGGTGTGGTTTCACTTACAAATATGACCCAAACAGAAATGGGTATATCGGCAGCAAAAAGATTCTGGTAGGGAAATCTTAGAACAAAGGACTAATTCAGGTTGGGAATATTCATTAAAACGAAGGAATGAGTAAATTCCTTATGGCAAAAACACATTTTTTTCTTTATTAGTCATTAGTTATACAGCAGGAGGTTTCATTGTGACACTTCCATACAAGCAATGTACCCTGCAGAAACTCTTCCAACCCTCCCTTAACCATTTCCTTGCCCTTCTTGAAACAATTTCAACAAGTTTCAGCGTTTTATTGTCACATATGCAAAGAAAATATTTTAACCAGATTCACCCTCAACGTTGGGCCCTTCAACTCCCCAATAGAGGCTGTTTTATTTTGCCAGTTTTTGCATATATGAATTATACAAAGAAGCTTCACCGTGGCAAATCACGGCGCGCATATGATCAGATTATCTACTGTGGTCTTTCCCTGTTCCCAGTACCCTTCTATGAGCTTTCTTATGCTCTTTTTATACAGACACCAAGTATTTTTTTTTAAATAGTATTTGTCCTCTGCCATTCACTTTCACTTACACACTTGCTACTGAGATCTGAAGATCTCAGTCTCCCGAGTAGTTAGGACTGCAGGCGCGAACCACCGGCGCCCGGCACAGCGAAACTTTTAAGAAGTGGTGGTTTTCTGAGATTTAGAATATCCACCGCCACTCAAGGAGAAAGCTGCCTGAACCTATCAACAAAATATTGTTCCCAACAACTTCTGTGTACACTAACCTTCCCTCTACAAAACCCTCCAGTGGATGCAGATAATCGAATTAAGTGATCTGATCCAGGGGCGAGGAAACCTTTTCCGGTGTGGGAGCCCACCTTCCTCTCGCGCTGCGCATGTGCAGTCTGCCCCACTGCTATGCTTCGCTTTCGTGCGTCTGAGACTTCTATCACCAGGTAAGGGCATCTTGGAAGGTGAGGTCCTGTTGGCTGGCGCAAACAAAACCCAGAGGGTCCTATGAGTTTTGGGATACGAAAACGGGGAAGAGGCGATGGGTCTCAGCGAGTACAATCTCCACGGCCGCGGGCCAGAGTGCACAAAGCAGCAGCTTCCACGGGGAGGGGCCAGAAGCTGGGGAGGAAGACGGGACGAGATCAAGAACTACAAGTCCCAGCATGCACCGTGCGGCGCGGCTCCGGAAGAAGCCGGCTGAGCGGCAGGACCGGAGAACTCAGGCCGACCGGAGCGCTCAGCGTGAGGGAGACGAGTGCGGAGCGGCGAACGATCCCTGACTTCTCGCACTTCTGATGCCCGCTGTTTCGAGGGGACTGTAGCATGCTGGAGACGCGCAGCTGTGCCGGTGGCCCGGACCTGCCGGGGCTCCGGAGCGTCCTAGATCGCCGTGAGGATGGAACCGGATGTGACGTCGCCGGGAGGCTGGAGGGAGAGGCGGAGCGTGGCGCAGTGACGTCCTGCCAAGATGGCGGAGAGAGAGTGAAAGAACTGGTTCCTCTGGGCGGCTACCGGTGAGTGCTGACTTCATCCCTGGCCCCGTCTCCGCCTGCTCCAGGTTCCCGGCCGTCCGCAGGCCGGCTCCTTGGAGTTCCAGGGCGGGTCGCGACGATGGCGGGAAGCTGAGGTGAAGTAGCCCCGGCAATGGCCCCGGCCACAACCTCTGCCGTGGGAATTCGCGGGAGGGAAGCTGGGAGGAGGCCAGGGCCGCCGGGGCCGGGAGGGCCTGGCTTCGGTGGTCGCCCTCTGTTGCGGCCTTGCGTGGAGAGCCTGGGTTGGGGACGTGTGGCCTCCGGGCAGGTGACAAGGGGGTGTGGCCTCCGGACAGGTGACAAGCGTGTCAGGGTGGCCTCCCGGCCGGTGCCAAGGAAACACTAGGGAGGTGAAGGGAGAAAATTTGGCCTCTTCTGAGCAGGTGATTAGGGCCCGGGGTGTGACGTCCTCGCTGGTGACGAGGCAGGGGTGTGTGTGTGGTCTCTGGGCAGGTGACAAGGGAGGAGTGAGGTCTCTCCCCTGAGCGGGTGACAAGGGAAGGGGGTTGGTCTGTTCGGTGGAGTGTAGCCTGCCCTCGGGGCAGGTGACTGGGGAGAAGGAGGTGTGACCTGTGGCCTGTGTTGTGGGAAAGGGTGCCGCTTCCAGGCTCCACAGAACCTTGGGCAGCCCAGGCCCAGCACCTACATTCCCGCTTCCCCGCATTCACCTCGTGCTTTGCAGAAACTGCTAGGTGGGAACTCACAGGTTTTAGTGATTTGAGAGGAAGTAGTACTGTGTTCTCACCCCTTTCTGTTCCAGAGAGTCATCTCTTAAGTGGTTTGTTGTCCCTCCTCCCTCTGCACATCTGCCTACTTACCTTGAAAGTTTTGAGAGTTCAACTTAAAAATGTCCACCCTTCAAAGGTGCAATGCCTATATGGGCATCTGGTAATTTAAAATAGTATTTACTGAAATGAACTCCAGGAAATGAACAAGAGGGTTTTTCTTTTCTTTGTTGCTTTCTGTTTGTGTTGGTTGTTCGTTTATCTGTCTTTAGGAGGATAATGGAGGGACAAAGGGTGAACAAATGCAGCAGATACTATGCTACTAGACACAGTGCTACAAGTGAACTGCAACTTGTGGGTGGGGACAGGAGGGAAAAACTGGGAGAAAGGGAGGGGAGGGGTAACATTGTCCCCCCAAAAAATGTACTCTTTGCCTAAGTTTTTTTTTTTAAATTTTTTGTCGGTCATGGGGCTTGAACTCTGGGCCTGGGCACTGTCCCTCAGCTCTTCAGCTGAAGGTGAGCGCTCTACCACTTGAGCTACAGCACCACTTCCCTCTTTACCTAACTTAACCTAACTTTACATACCTGTAAGCTCTGTACATCATCTTCATAATAACTATATATACATACATGTATATATGTACATCTCTGTGTGTACACACACACACACACACACACACACACACACACACACAGCCAGTCCTGGGCCTGGCTGAGCTTTTGCTCAAGGCTAGCACTCTACCACTTAAGCCACAGCACCACTTCCAGCTTTTTCTGTTTATGTGGTACTGAGGAATTGAACCCAGGGCTCTATGCATGCTAGGCAGGCAACTCTACTACTAAGCCACATTCCCAGCCCTACATTATTTTTTTTTGATTCCACCCTTTTTGCAGCCCACAGAATTGTTTTATTTACTGTCATTTATTGATGTGTCCTGAGGACGCATGTCCATGGTGTCCATGGTGAAACAAAAAGAAGAGAGGCACTTGGATTTTTTTTTTATTTTTTATTTTTTGGGGGGTCCGGTCGTGGGGCCTGAACTCTGGGCCTGGGCGCTGTCCCTCAGCTCTTCAGCTCAAGGCTAGCGCTCTACCACTTGAGCCA